CGCGAGGGCGCCCGCGGAGCCTCCCCGGTCGTCGCAGAGGGCGAGCCCCGGGGCGCCGAGAACAGCGGGCGACGCGGTAACTTTCCTCCCTCTCCCAGGCTGGGGCTCGCGGGCCGGGGAGGGGGCCGCCTGGGTTGGGAAGCTTTGGTCCCGACCCATCGGCTCCCTGAACTACCCTGCTCTCTTTTAGTGTTGGGGAGCACGGGGGGAAAGCAGGACGAGTGTCGGGGCACCTCCCAAGAGGTAGTGGGTAAATGTGTGCAGTGAGCGGGCCGAGCCGAGAGGAAGCGAGAGCGCCCGAGTTTGCAAAGAGCTGCTTTGTGTTTGGTATTTTGAGAAAATGGCCGAATGCCTGTTTGAGTCAGGAATGCCGCCGCCGAGGCAGGCGCTGGTGGCAGCAGCACATAGGAATTCGTGCAACACGTTGGACTTTCGGGCTGTGCTGGGACGCCCTTCCTGACAAACTTTAAAATTCCTTTGAGGTGGCAGGTAGGGTTTAGGAAGGCATTAGAAAAGTCGACGTTTGGGTCAGTTGCCGAGTCGTCTGGGTTGTTAAGCCCTGGGACAGCTTTTGCCCCCCAGTTTTCTGTGATGGCATTTGATTCCAACTTTCGTTGGAACTCTACTGGTTTGTGTTAGTATGTACTTGAGTGAAACGGGTTACTTTTGCATTTTGGGTTTACCTTTCTATTTTTTAGCACTTGTGTCAGTTATTTTGCTTTTTCTGGTTTACATGAGAACTCCTGATTTGAGAACAGCACCTTTTAGATTAACCTTAACGTGTTAAGACGATTTTAAAAGCTCAACTTGTTTTCAGGAAGGTAATCTTGTAATGGCTTCCACTGGGCAAGTAGGCCATGGCAGCACAATGCAAGAAAGTTGCTGCTTGTGTATTTGGGGCTGCAGTTGTTTTATGAGGGGGCTTGGAGGATTATTTTCATTTGTGAAGTTTTGCATACATTGAGCAACCTTTTATACAAAGAAAAGGGCCTTAATTTTTTTTTTCTTTAACAGATCAAGTCATTGAAAGAAATCAAACCAAGTGGTTACTTTTTTCAGTTTTCTCCTTTTGGAGTTAGTTGAGTTAATATGAAATTCAGTTTAGTCGAACAATTATTAGACTTTCCAAACGTGGGTGTGTTTAAATAAAGGCACAGTATGACTTCTGGGTTACTCTTTTCCTGATTCGGACAAGGAAACTTATTTTGGGGGGGAAGGGGCCTAGAGGGCAGCAGTTTATGATTATGTATTGAATCAAAAAATAACTTGAATTAACCTTAAAAATAAGGTTTATTTTTTTCTACTAGAAAAATTGGGTAGAAGCATACCAGTTGTGGACCTAGTTGATAGATAGGTTGTGTCAAACAGTTACAGATTTTTTTTGTAGGAGTAATAAAATTCTTTTTGTGTCTAGTAAGGGCAAGTCACAATTGTAAGAATAGATTAATGTCTTATTTTTAGTAATTAATGAATCTCATTTAATTTAATGTTTATATTGGAAGTTTTTTAAGTCAAGAATTTACAGTGATGCTTGGATTTTAGATCAGTAAAATTTTGTGTTTAAACTGGTGTTTTTTTATTTTTGTTGTTTGTGTGTCTGTTTTGTTTTTAATTCAGATTACAGTTATGGCCACCCAGGTAATGGGGCAGTCTTCTGGAGGAGGAGGACTATTCACCAACGGTGGCAACATTGGCATGGCCTTGTCTAACGACATGTATGACTTGCATGACCTCTCTAAAGCCGAACTGGCTGCACCTCAGCTTATCATGTTGGCAAATGTGGCCTTAACTGGGGAAGTAAATGGCAGCTGTTGTGATTACCTGGTTGGTGAAGAAAGACAGATGGCTGAATTGATGCCTGTTGGAGATAACAACTTTTCAGATAGTGATGGAGAAGGACTTGAAGAGTCTCCTGAAATTAAAGGTGAACCCAGTGGACTGGAAAATGTGGAACTGGAAAGTTTGGAACTCAGTGTTGTAGAACCACAGCCTGTATTTGAGGTATCAGCTGCCCCAGAAATTTACAGCTCAAATAAAGAACTTCCTCCTGAGACACCTGGAACTGAGGACAAATGCAAGAACTTGAAGACAAAACCCTTTCGTTGTAAGCCATGCCAGTATGAAGCAGAATCCGAAGAACAGTTTGTGCACCACATTAGAGTTCATAGTGCCAAGAAATTTTTTGTGGAAGAAAGTGCAGAAAAGCAAGCAAAAGCCAGGGAATCTGGCTCTTCCACTACAGAAGAGGGAGATTTCTCCAAGGGCCCCATTCGCTGTGACCGCTGTGGGTACAACACTAATAGATACGATCACTATACTGCTCACTTGAAACACCACACTAGAGCTGGAGATAATGAGAGAGTCTACAAGTGTATCATTTGCACGTACACCACAGTAAGTGAATATCACTGGAGGAAACATTTGAGAAACCATTTTCCAAGGAAAGTATATACATGCGGAAAATGCAACTATTTCTCAGACAGAAAGAATAATTACGTACAGCATGTTCGAACTCATACAGGTAAGAGGAAATTGTAATGTATCGGTTTAGCTCACTTCTGATAATAGAGTGGGTAGTTACAAAAGTGTGTTAAAGGAAAGGGACTGGTTTCAAATCCTGGATCAGTCATTTGCTGTTTTTGGGACCTTGGTAAAGTTTTATTTAACTTTTTTTTTAAGTTTCTTCATAGGGATGATAAAGGGTTGGATGATTTAAGTGAAGGAATACAGCACAGATTGTTATTTGGAAAAAATCCATAGAAATTTTATTGATGCTTTCTCCAAAATTATGTAGTGTGGAAACTTGAAATAGAAGATTATTAAGTTAGATGTTTTTTTAAAGGAAATTAATTGAGTGGACAGTGCATAATACACCTAAGATACAGTATTGCAAAGGAATTGAAGGATTAGAAAACCCAATAATTGTTCCTTACATTCTATTTAATAGAAGCTTCAAACTTGGCAAAATACTGGATTTGTGGTATTGAGTTCTTAAATGAAAAAGCTTGTCTCTAAAACAGAAAAGTGCAGTTAGATTTTAAAAAATTGGTGGGATTATCACACTTAAAATCATTTTCCTAAGAAAGCAGAGATGCAGTATGAAAAAAATGGAAGTCTTTTTTTTTAAAGATTTATTTATTTATGCATACAAGAATTGGGGTACAGGCCAGAGGGGCAGGGGCAGTGAGAGGATTCACCAGAGACAGAGTGGGGAGCAGAACAGACAGATTGACGAAGTACACTACAGAGGGGAGCAGTGGGCAGGTCAGGAGAGGTCTGTTGTGCCATGTCTAACTCTGGTCCAGGAGGGATTGAACTTGTGTTATGATAGCTCCCCCCCCCCCATGGAAGTCTTTAAAAAAAGTTTGATCTTAACTCAGATGTAAAGAGAAAGACTCTATACCCGTCTCCTATACTTAGTTTTGTCAATATTTTGTCACTTTTTGTAATTCAGTCTTTAAAAATAACAGCTTTATTGAAATATATTCTACTACCACCACCACACACACAGTTCGTTTAAAGTTGTAATTCAGGGATTTTAGTGTATTCAGAGTTGTGCAACCATCACCACATTCAGTTTTATGACTATTTCATCCAAAGGGAAAACCCCATCTTAGTGATTCACTCCATTATTTTTCCCCACACTCCTTCATTCACTTTTATATTTTAAAGAATCTATTTTATTTATTTATGTATACAAGAACAGGGGTGTAGGCCAGAGGTGTGGAGGGTTGAGGATTCATCAGAGACAGTGAAGAGCAGCACATGTGGATCCACTAAAATACATTGCTGTGGGGAGCAGAGTAGTCTGCTGTGCCATGTGGGTGAGCTCCCTGGCTGGGGTTTGTTGCAGTGATTGCTTGATAGGGCTGAGACTTCAACCTCTGTGCCACAGGGACGCTTTTAATTCACTTTTTAAAAAAGGATTATTTTGTTTATGCATACAAGAGCTGGGGTGTAGGCCAGAGGTGCAGGGGGTGGGGGTGGGGTGGTGGAGTGAGAGGATTCACCAGAGACAGAGTGGGGAGCAATAAAAGCAGATTGAATGAAATACACTGCTGAGGGGGGCAATGGGTGAAATAGGAGAGTTCTGCTGCGACAAGTGGGTTAGCTCCCTGTGGGGGATTGAACTCAGTACTGACTGCAGTGGGTGCCCATAGCTTCACAATGCTGAGACTTAAGCCCTGGCACCACTAGAGGGGACACCCCCCATTCACTTTTACATTGATTTTCAGAGCTTTGTAATTAAAGGGTCTTACTTTTGCAAGGAATGTTTGTAATTGGTAGTTAATCTTAACTTTTCTTGGTAAGAGTTGATAACTTCGAGAAGTGATCATTGGTCTGAACAAACTGGGATAATCAAGTACTGTACTACAAATCACAGCTGAAAAAGTGATGTGGGGTGCTATATGCATCAATTTCCTTTTTTTTCTCCCAGGATTGAATGGCACAGGTAAAGTTGGGGCAGAGTGGGGAGAGGGATGTCACTATGCTTTTAAAAGTGGTAGTTTGGCTGGCCCTTCCTGGTGGCATGCAGCACAAGGAAGCATAAGCCACTTCCGCATAAGTTCGATCCCGCCTGCCCCAGAGGAGATTCCCCTCAACAGTGTACTTCGTCTGTTCTGCTCCCCGCTCAGTCTCTGGTGAATCCTCTCACCCTCCGCATCTCTGGCCTGTACCACAGTTCTGTACAAATAAATAAATAAATATATATAAAAAAAAGTGGTACTCTTAAACAGTAAAACTTAAAGTGACATTCTTTTGCAAGAAAAGACCATCAGCAAGATTTCTAAGCTCCAGCAGATTGTATTTAAAACTTTAAATCCAGTTAAGTAAAAGAATCTGTCCTTTTGGAATTGTAATCTGATTTGATTTTCTTTCCAGAGAAGTTCAAACATTAAAAAAACACAGTGTAGGTAGCAAGTTATATGGGAGCCCAATCCACCAGTGGCCACCCCCCAACCCCCATTAATCACTAAATAACCTCATTAGGCCCTCCCTGGTGGTGCAGTGGGTTAGGACACAGCACTGCAAGCTGAAGCTTGCAGCAGCCACTTAAGTGGAAGGTGGATCCCTGGCCCTGGAGGTGACCCATAAGGCACGGCAGACCTCTCCTGACCTGCCCACTGCTCCCTCAGCAGTGTCCTTCATCAGTCTGCCTGATCTGCTCCCCACTCTGTCTCTGGTGAACCTTCTTGCTGCCCCTGCACCTGTGGCCTGCGTGTACCTCAGTTCTGTACGCACAGATAAATAAAACTTAAAAAAATAAAACTTAAAAAAAATTAACCTCATAATATTCCCGTGACTTCCCCTGTTAATATCTAAAACTATTCCAACTAGTCATATTACTTTGGTTCATGAATACTTCTTGTGTGGTCATCAGTTTTTCCCCTTTTATTTAAGCTTTTATGAACCTTGGGGCCTAATTTAGAATTAGCAGTAAATGCTATTGAGGTTTCAAGGTAGTAACTATGACATGATCAAGTACGTAACTTTTATGGGTACTACCTTGAGGAATTTTTAAAAGTACATATCCTCCCAACCACTCCGAAAACCAACATAAGAAAATAACCACTAGCCCCCCAATGTCTTCATTTTGAATTTTGAAATACATTTGAATTTTCATCTTTTTTCAGTTGATTTTGGTTACTTCAGAACTTGTGAATCTTTGAACACTTAGAAGAAATTCCAGAAAGCTAAAATTTTTTTCAGTAATCTAAATTTGTCTATTTAAGAACTTTTTTAGAATAAAAGGTAAATAGCTGGAAAAATTGAATATTTGTGAATTTCCAATTTTTTGTATAAAGCTCTTTTTTAGATATTAGCTATTTTTGTAATTTCTTAATTTTTTAGATATACATTTATTTATGCATACAAGATCTGGGGTGTAGGCCAGAGGTGGGGGAGGTGAAAGGATTCACCAGAGACCAGTAGGGAGCAAAACAGGCAGACTGAAAACACTGCTGAGGGGAGCAGCAGGTGAGACAGGAGAGGTCTGCTGTGCCATGTGGGTCAGCTCCCTGGTGGGGATCTAACTTGTGCTTCAGTGGCTGCAGATTGCTTCATAGTGCTGAGACTTAACCCCTTGTCTACCATGGAGGCCTCTGGATGACTAATTAATGGCTATATTTCATAACCTTATAATTGTTCATTACTTTTTTTTCTTCCACAGTGACATCTTAAAACTTAACTTGGTTTTAATGCTTTTTGAAAACATTTTTCTCCTATAGTATTATTATCTTACTTGTAATATTTTTAATTTGTAATTTAAAAAATTTGGAAATAGGGGCTTATCTGGTGGTACAAAGGGTTAAAGTGCAGCCCCACTCCAGCATGAGTTCGTACCCCCACCAGGAAGGTGACCCACATGGTGCAGCAGACCTTCCCTTGTCTTGCCTGTTACTCCCCATAGCAGTGTATTTCAGTCACTCCACCTGTTCTGTTCCCCACTCTATCTCTGGTGAATCTGCATACCCCTGGCACCTCTGGCTTTTACACCTCTGGCTTGTGGAAATTGTACCCCAGTTCTTGTATGCATAAATAAATAAATAAATAATTTTTGAAATGGTGAACAATTTGATACATAAAGGATAATATTTTGATTATGTAATATCTGATGTTAAATGCATGGTTAAGACAATTTATGGAAAAATATGTTTGTAGCCTACTTTTCAGATTTACTTAATAGGTCTCTTCTGTTCTTCTGTTCTTATGTACTTACGAACTGTGTACTGTGTTAATCTTTCAAAATAGCTCATTGAGGAAAACCAGGTAAGTATGTAGCCCATTTTTACTAAGAGGAAGACATCAGGCTCGAAAGCCTGTGCCCCCAGGTCACATAGAAGTAAACTAAGTTAAAGTTCAGAGTTTCTTTTAATAGGTAATTGTCTTGATGTAACTGTTGAGGATTATTTTCATTTGGGTTCATTTATGGGTTTTTAATTTCTTAGCTTGGATAATTAAACTAGTTCACATATTTTACTTTAAAGGATGACAATTTTGCCATTGTGTGGACCTGAAAAAAATCACTTCTAGTGTTTATGCCTATTTAGTAGATTTACATAAATAGAACAACTTATTCTGTTGTAAACAATTTATAAAATTATCCTTAACTCATCCTTCAAGATAATCTGTTTGTATCTCATTTTCTTCTATTAACTTTTTTGTTTAACCATTTTGTATACATAAGTACATACTATATTCTCCACTGTGGATTGCCTATTGTGGATATGTCACGTAAATGGAATATGTAGTTATTATTATGTTTTTTCACTTAGCATAATGTTTTTAAGGTTTACCTATGTTGTATGTATAGTACTTGTTTTCCTCTTATTGCCAAATAAGACTCTAGTGTATGGATGCACAACATTTTGTTTATCATTCATAAATTAATAGGTATTTGGATTGTTTTTATTTCTTGGCTATGATGAATAGTACTGTTATGAGTTTTTTGTATACATTTTTGTGTGGATATATTTTTTTTCTCTTGAGTGTTATATATCTAGGAGTAGAATTGATAGGCTAAATGGTAACTTCAGTCATTTGAGGATCTGCTAAACTGTTTTATTACTTTACAGTCCCACCAGTGGATGTGTTCCATTTTTTTCTACATCATAAACAATATGTGACTCTGTATTTAGATTACAGTCATTTTAGTAGGTAGACACTTTAATCACATTGTGGTTTTGATTTGCATTGCCAATGCAAATGCATGGCTAATGATAAATGTGCATTTTTTTCATGTGCTTATTGGTCCTTTAGTTTGGTTTTACATTTTAGAAGGGCAGGCTATTTGGAAAAGGAGATAGAAAAGGTCACCTGTGAAATAAGGGGCAGGAGCATTTGGTTATTTTTGAAGATTTATTTATTATTTATGTATACAAGAACTGGAGTGCAGGTCAGATATGTGGAGGTTGACAGCATGAGGGAGACAGCATGGGGAGCAAAAGGTGGATCTACTCAGATACACTGTTGAGGGGTGGGCAGGTCAGGAGAGATCACCTCCTTAGCTGGGGATCAAATTCGTGCTGCAGTGGCTGTGGATAGTTTCGTAAGTACTTCACTTTAACCTGTTGTACAACCAGGCCCCTTCATTTATTCTTTTTTTTTTTTTTTTTTAAAGATTTATTTATTTGTACATACAGAACTGGGGTACAGGCCAGAGGCTCAGGGGCGGTGAGAGGCTTCACCAGAGGCAGAGTGGGGAGCAGAACAGGCAGATCGACGAAGTACACTGCTGAGGGGAGCAGCCGGCGAGTCAGGAGAGGTCTGCCTCGCCATGTGGTCTCCTCCGGGGCAGGCGGGAATCGAACTCATGCGGAAGCAGCTTTAGATTCTCAGTGCAGTGCTTTAACCCGCTGCGCCACCAGGGAGGTCCTATTCTTAATTTAAAATCTCACAATTTTAGGAAGTGAAGATACTATTAATTTTATAGGTGAGGAAACTAAGGTTTTTCTTTTGTAAAAGATTTGTTTACGCATACAGAACTGGGGTATAGGCCAGAGGTGCGGGGGTGGTGAGAGGATTCACCAGAGACAGTGGGGAGCAGAAATGGAGTATACCACTGAGAGGAGCAGTGGGTGAGACATTAGAGGTTGGCTGCACCATGTGGATCACCTCTTTGGCAGGGGATTGAACTATATATACCACAGAAGCTGCTGTGGCTAGCTTTAACCCATTGTGCCACCAGGGAGGGCCAAAACTGAGTTTGTAAGTAACTTCCCGAAGTCATTATTACTGTCTAGTGGCCAAATATTAGATGAAAGCAAATTGTCAAGCTTTTTATTATTATTACTATTTATGAATAGAAGAACTGGGGGTATAGGCCAGAAGTGCAGGGGGTGAGAGGATTCACCAGAAACAGTGGGGAGCAGAAACAGGATGAGTTACTGAAATACATTAAGAGGAGCAGTAGGCAAGACAGAAGGGGTCTGCTGTGCCATATGTGAGTTAGCTGCCTGGCTGGGGATTGAACTCAAGTCATAGTGGTGATAACACTGAAACTGAACTCTAGACCACCAGGGAGGCCACAAATTGTCATGTTTTTTGTTTTTTTTTTTTTCTTTTTAAAAGTTTTATTTATGCATACAAGAGCTGGGGTATAGGCCAGAGGTGTGTGTGTTTGGTGGGGAGTGAGAGGGTTCACCAGAGGTAGTGGGGAGCAGAATAAATAGGTAGACTGAAATACATTGCTGAGGGGGGCAGTGGATGAGAGAATAGTGGTCTGCTGCTCCACATGGATTAGTTCTCTGGCCAGGTATTGAACAAGCTTTAGTGTCTGCCCATCCCTTCATAGTGCTGATACTAAACCCATGTTGACGTTTTTTTGTCCTCCACCTACAGTCTGTTTTTTGATTGATCATCCATGTCCAAAAAATACATATTTCTAACCTTTGAGTCATAAATTCTTCAGCAAGTCATTGACATCTCATCTTTAGTTGTTTTCAATTCTTACAACTTCATTGTATAATTTGTTTTAGCACTGACCTGTGTTATGAAATGATACCTATCACAGGGAAAGAGCTTAATGCAACAAACAACATCCCCACTCAAATTGTCCTTGTTTTAATAAAAGCAAATAATTTTAAATGGCAGATTTATCATTTATAAACATTAAAAAAAAACCCTAAATCATAACCTCAGAAAGTTGGGTAATTTTTTAAAGGATAATTCTAATTAGAATAAAATGCCTTTTTGATACCTTATAAAGATAATTAATTAGGTGTGGCAGACCTCTACTGTCTCGCCTGCTGCTCCCTTCAGCAGTGCACTTCAGTAGGTCTGCCATTTTTGCTCACTAATCTGTCTCTGGTGAATCCTCAAGCCCTCCACCTGGCCTGTACCTTGGTCTTGTATGCATAAATAAATAAACCTTCCAAAGAAAACAAGATTACTCAGTTCTTAATATTTAATATGATAATATGTGTCATTACAGTGAAAATTAAAAGGCTGTGAATATCTAGAATGCCAGTGACATTTCTGGTCACTAAAATGTAGTTATATGGGTTATATGGACTCTGAATTAAATCATTTGTATGGCTAACCTAACTCTTACCAGCAACAGAAAAATTGTTCAGGTATTTCAATACTGAATGTTGTATAATTGTTAATGAGAATTGTATTTGCCCTGTTCTATCATATTTAAAAACTAATTTTTTTTTTTTGTAGGAGAACGTCCATATAAATGTGAACTTTGTCCTTACTCAAGTTCTCAGAAGACTCATCTAACTAGACATATGCGTACTCATTCAGGTTGGTAAATGGGAACTTTTCTGTCATTTTAAGTAAACTTCCATTATAAGGAAATCCTTCTAAAACTAAAATTCAGTTATTATTTATGATTATACTTTAATATAAATGAGCCTTGAAAATCACTGTTGACTGTTAGTGTGGTGCTATATTTGAATGGAAATTCTTACCAAGATTTCATAGGTGGGAGCTCCTAAAACAATGTAATTATGTTGTGCATACTTTTTTTGGTGTGGGAGAGGGGGGTGACTTAAATTCACGTTGGATCTTCAAATCTTCAGTAATTCCTTGCCTGATAAAACTTAAACTGATGCTTAAATGAAAGCTGAGTTATTCTTTTTGAACAGTTCTTACTTTATAATAGTGTTTCTTCCTCCCCTCCTCATGCCCCAATGTAGTGTAACACCAAGTTGCACAGTACATGGTTACCAGGTTCCATGGGTTCCTTCTTAGCTTCTCAGCACTGAAGTTGGTTTTGTTCTCTTTGAGTAGTGCTTCTGAGAACTAATTTCTAGAAGTTTAACTTTAGAGAGTGACAAATATCTAACCTGTCTAATCCATCATACCAGTTTATTAACCTACATTAGAAAATATACAGGAGTGTTATACTTAATGATGATGAATTCATCATTCCAGAATTAAATAATGATAACCACTAACTAGAATTGGTCTTCATTATCGAGGCTATGTAGGTGGCCAAGTTAAAAAGCATATTAGCATAGGTGGTCTTGAATTGACAGTTTGTTTTGACCATGATTGACCCTGAGTAATTGCCATGTCTGATTTGGAATAGACTGCACCTCTGTGGGAGAACAATGCTAATAATCTTGCTTTTTACAAAAATCTAAGTTGACCTATATCTCTCAACAGTTACCTTAAATTTGTGTTGTTTGATTGGGTAGCCACTAGTGAAATCAGTCTTAACCTGTTTCTTTGTGACTACTCAAATTTAAAATTTTTCTTGTATTTTATTTTTGTTGGATTTTTCTGTCTTAAGTCAGTGATTGAATGCATGTTCAGATTTGAGCTGAAGAGGTTTGCATAGTGTATCCTTGCAGGCATTTCTTTGTCTTATTAAAGCTCCCTGTTGATTGCATTTAAGAGTTAACACATTTTAATCTGTAATATCCTATATGTTCTACAGTTATCCTCATTTTACAAGTGGTGACCCTAACTCATTGGAGAAATAGGGCTATTTTTCCTGTATAATGTTCCCCTTTTCGATTTATCTGGCTTGCTCTTTTTTTTTTGCTGCTCTTTAGTTTTTCTTCTGTTCCTATCCCATGGGAATTAAATACTTTAATACTGTGTTATTTTATTGCATTTGAAGTCCTATCTGTTGCTGTCATTGGATTAAAATGACTCACTTGCATCTTTCATAAATTGATAATACTTTCATCATTGTGTATCTGTAGTATTTTATACTACTTAAATTTTTGCCTAAATGGTTTTGAGTTTGCTGGGTTTTATTTATTTATTTATTTTAAAGATTTATTTATTTATTCATACAGAACTGGGGTATAGGCCAGAGATGTGGAGGGTGAGAGGATTCACTAGAGAGTGGGGAACAGAACAGGCAGATCGACGAAGTACACTGCTGAGGGGAGCAGCAGGTGGGTCAGGAGAGGTCTGCCACGCCATGTGGTCACCTCCGGGGCAGGCGGGAATAATCGAACTCACGCGGAGGTGGCTTTAGCTTCTTAGTGCTGTGCTTTAACCCGCTGCGCCACCAGGGAGGGCCTGGTTTTTATTTTTTAAATTGTCTTTGCAGTATTTTAAAAGGTAATTTTCAGTATTAAAATTCAGCAAGTCTGTTAATGAATATACATGGAGGCTACTAAAAAGTTGGACTTTATCTCTAAATTTAGTATTGCTAAAACACTTAACTCCGAGAATTTATAGATTATTAAAGCATGAGTTTAGAGAGGATAAATGCTTTCTCTAGGGTTGCTGTTCCTCTAAAGTAGAAGAGCTGTGATTTGTGTACTGATTGCCCCACTCCCACTTACCTCATCATCAACAGCATTAAAAAGAACATGGCTTAGAAAATGGCTTAAGAAGTTATAACATGGGCCTCCCATGGTGGCACAATGGATTAGAATGCAGCACTGCAAGCTAGCACAGCCGCTTCAGTGTGAGTTTGATCCCCCATCCTGGAGGTGACCCCACATGGCATAGCAGACTTCTCCTGTCTCACCCTCAACTCCCTTCGAAGTGCACTTTGTTGATCTGCCTGTTCTGTTCCTCACTCTTGCTCTGGTGACTCCTCTCACTGCCTCTGTACTTCTTCTGGCCTGTACCCCAGCTCGGTAGGCATAAATAAATAAATCTTTAGAAAATGTTACAACATAAAGACATTGGAAGCATAATGTATTGAGAGAACAGTTACTCTCTTTCTCTCTCTTTTGTTTTTAAAGATTTGTGTTTTTTTAAATTTATGCATATAAGAACTGGGGTATATGCCAGGGGTGCTGGGTGAGAGGATTCACTGGAGACAGACTAGGGGAGCAGAATAGACAGACTAACTGAAATATACTGCCGAGGTACAGCTGGCAAGGCAGGAGAGGACTCCTGTACCTTGTGAATCAGCTCCCTGACGCGATCCAACTCATGCCCATGCTCAAGTGGCAGGCAATAATAGCTTGATAGCCCTGAGACTTTAACCCCTGCGCCACCAGGGAGCCTCAGCAGTCACTGTCTTTATTGCCAGTCTCAAACAGGAAACAAAAATGGTTTTTTTGTGTATGAGTGGGTGGTATAACACTTGACATCAACTGAGGTTAGGTCAAATTGAATAGGTAGTTTTTTTCTCTTTTTTTAAAAAGATTAATTTATTTATGCATACAGAACTGGGGTGCAGGTCAGAGGCTCAGGGGGTGAGAGGATTCACTAGAGACAGAGTGTGGGACACAACAGGCAGATTGAAGTACATTGCTGAGGGGAGCAGTGGACGGGTCAGGAAAGGCCTGTGGGTCAGCTCCCTGGCTGGGGATTGGACTCATGCTACAGCAGTTGTGATAGCTTCATAGTGTTGTGCTTTAACCTCTTGCACCACCGGGGAGGGCCCTGGATAGGTGGTTTTTCTGACTGGACTACATGGAGTGAATGAATATCTTGGGTATATTCTCTGTGGTCTGAAGTTTGATCATTACAGGTCAGCTTGAGCATTTTGGCTTTTGTTCATAGGTTTTGTTCATAGGTTTTTTGTTCATTTTGTTATTTTAGGCAAGAAGTGTGTATAGCCTTAATTTTAGGTGAGATTAGGTTCTGTTAAGTTGATATACTTTAAATGACAGAAATTGGCTTATCAGGACTTTGTTTTTATTTCTGAGTTGTTATCAGGTTGTATGCCCTTATACTCTTTGATTAAAATTTTCTTTGTATTCTTTATGAATTTTATGCAACAAAATCACATTGGTCCTTTACTTGGAGCACTTTCATCCATATAGTATATCTTTGCAGGTAAAATTAAGGGATTGGAATGTTGTTTTAGTGAAAAAGAAAGTTGGATATTTTATAGACTATTTATTACCTACACTGATAGTTTTCATTTTGTTGGTGTTTTCCCCTAGTGGTGTTAGACTATTATTACTTGGGTAGTGCTGGACACTCTTTTCACGATTCTCAGGGGGAGATGTTATTGTTTAATCTTGGATGAAATATTCACTGCTGGATAAAATGCGTCCAGTTTATCTTTGCCCTAAGACAGCTTTGAGCATATGGTGCTGGCTAGTTACCATCCTTCTGGCATTAGGAGCTGATTTTTAATATTTTTGTGTTTTCAGTCTAGTGTTTATTAGAAGAGTAACTTGCTAAGTTGTACCTCTACTTGTTACTAAGGTGGAAAAATACTTTTCCTTTCAAGTACTTGATGATAATTAAATAAGCACTATTTTAGTAGCTAGGCCTGTGTAAAAGACACTCAGTGTTGGGTAGGGGCAAGAAAAAAGATACTTGGGCTTGAGACTTTATTTTAAAGATTTATTTTCAGTTATGTAGAACTGTTATAAGAACTGTTATAAGTTATATAAGTTATATATATATATATATATTTATATATATATAAGTTATATAAGTTATAAGAACTGGGGTGTAGGCCAGAGGTGCAGAGGGTGGGGGTGAAAGGCTTCACAGAGACAGAGTGGGGAGCAGAACAGGTAGTGACTGAAATACACTGCTGAGGGGAGCAGCAGGTGAGACAGGAGAGGTCTACTGCACCATGGTGTGACATGGGTGGGGAATGGAACTTGTGCTGCAGTGGCTGGTGTTAGCTTGATAGCCTGAAACTTTAATCCCTGCACTACCAGGGAGGCCCCAGTTTGAGTCTTTGTAAGCATTATTTCACTGAGTTTTGATTTACATAACTGTGAAAGCACACTTATTAAGTATGTAATTTACTGACTTTACGTATGTTGTATCTACCTATTTGACTACCACCTAGATGGATATATGGAACATTTTCCACCATCCTTAGAAAAGTTCCCTTCTTACCCTTTCCTTAGTATACGCAGTCTCCCCGTAATTGATTTTTTTTTTTATAAAGATTTATTTATGCATACAAGAACTGGGCCAGAGGTGCAGGGGTGGGGTGAGAGGATTCACCAGAGACAGTGGAGAGTAGAACATGTGCCTCTGTATATTAAGCAAATATTTGTCCATTGAAATCATTCATTGGAGAGGACAAGACAGGGCTGAGTAAATGAGTAATGTGGCATGTAGTAGAAACTTCTTTATGAATCTATTAATGAACTAACATGGAAAAAAGTTGTCCAGCATGCTACATATTTAATCTGACTTTCCAGGGTAAGTTTTTTCTGTGTGATTTAGTTATTTTATCAGGCATTTTCTAATCATATGATGTGTACCATCTACATGGCTTTGCATAATGTCTGAATAGTTTTGCTTTCTGAAAAAATAAAGTAAGGCTTATAGGAATTTGAGATTGTTTGGCATTAATTTTCATAAATGTCAATTTCCGTTTTTCTACTATGCATTCCATTGGACCAGTGGGGTATGGATACCATTTGGTAATATTTACTAAAGTGTGATCTAGATGGGTATGTATTCAGGTAGAATGTGTTATTCTTACGCATTTCATTTGGGGGTGGGGAGGTTGGTTTTATATGTGCCAGTGATTATGACCTTGTTTGCTTACCTTTTAAATACCATATCTATTTGTATGTTCTTTCTCATTTACCTAGTGTCTTTGCCTGCCTTTTAGAAAAAGGTCCAGGTGGGGGTTTGAATCAGGGAATAATTTCTGATTTGGCAATACTTAAAATAGCAACTCTGGCATTGGAAACTTCATTGTGTAAAATTTAGCCAGACTCTTGCCTTGATGGACAAAGGAGGTAAAGAAAAATTTTCTTCACTAAGACTACGGGGTTAGTTTAAAATTCTTGCTCCAAAAGTTCTGAGAGCATAGATGTTTCTTTGAAGTCTGAAAAATATATAGAAGTTTTATTATATTCCATTATACATTATTTTAAAATATAAAATATAAAATATAAAAATATAAAAATTATATTTAAATATAAATTTAAAAATTAAGTTATCTTCTGTGTGATTGTGCTTGTCACAAAATTAACACATGGGACAACAGACTATCAATAATTACTGTCTGCTTCTTGATGGATCTGTGTTCTTTAACAGGACTTGAGAATCCTACTTTGATGAACTTTTTAGGACGTGATTAACTGAGATATATATTCTGGTGTAAGAATTATGTCGAGGGCAAGAGAAAAGATAGACAAATAAATATGGTAAATGTAAGATGCATGATAAAGTTTTTAAAATAGCCTTTGTTGACATCCAATTCCTTATGTATGTATTTTAATAAAATCTTGAAATACTTTCTTGGCCTGCCGCTTCTCTAACATCTCTTGTTTACCTTCAGGTGAGAAGCCATTTAAATGTGATCAGTGCAGTTATGTGGCCTCTAATCAACATGAAGTAACCCGACATGCAAGACAGGTTCACAATGGGCCTAAACCTCTTAACTGCCCACACTGTGACTACAAAACAGCAGATAGAAGTAACTTCAAGAAACACGTCGAGTTACATGTTAATCCACGGCAGTTCAATTGCCCCGTGTGCGACTATGCAGCTTCTAAGAAATGTAATCTGCAGTATCACTTCAAATCTAAGCATCCTACCTGTCCTAATAAAACAATGGATGTCTCAAAAGTGAAACTAAAGAAAACCAAAAAGCGAGAGGCTGACTTGCCTGATAATAATGTTACCAATGAAAAAACAGAGACAGAGCAGACAAAAACAAAGGGGGATGTGGCTGGTAAGAAAAGTGAGAAGTCTGTAAAAGTGGAGAAAAAGGATGTTTCAAAAGAGAAAAAGCCTTCTACTAACACCTCAATACATGTGACGACCAGAACTCGCAAATCAGCAATGGAAGCTAAAGATGTGGATATGCATACAGGAAATAATTCAGAGAAAACCTGTAAAACCAAGAAAAGCAAAAGGAAGATGGAAACTGAAGCCCATTCCTTACAGTGTCCTGTTAATGATGAGGAACCTGTGACAAAAAAGAAAAAAAAGGCAGAAAGCAAATCCCCAAATAGTCAGGAAGTACCAAAACGTGACAGCAAAGTAGAAGAAAATAAAAAGCAAAGTACTGGCATGAAAAAAAATACAAAGAAGAAAACTCTGAAAAATAAATCAAATAAAAAAAACAGCAAGCCTACTCAGAAGGAGCCTGTCTCACAGGAGCCTGCAGAGGGGGGGGGCCCTTCGGTGGGGCCTGTGCAGACAGAGCTGCCGCCGCCCACGGAGCCTCCTCCTGGGCCTCCTCCGGTGCAGCCTGCTCAGACAGAACCTCCTGCTGCTGGGGGACCCGTGCAGATGGATGTTGCTCAGGAGGGGTCTGTTCAGATGGAACCTCCTCCTCCCCCCATGGAGCCACCTGTGCAGATGGAGACAACTCCTAAGAAGTCACCTCGAAAAGATAACAAAAAGGAAAAGTGTAATGAACAGAGTGAAATGGCACGGCAGGAGCAAGTTCTCATTGAAGTTGGCTTAGTGCCTGTTAAAGATAGCCAGCTTGTTAAGGAGAGCGCAGATGCACAGGATCTCTCACCACCCTCTCCACCGCTGCCAAAGGAAAACCTGCAAGAGGAGTCAAAAGACCAAAAACTTACAGAAGGCGAAGGAAATAAAGAATCCCCTCTTCAAAACGCAGAAGCAGAAGAGGCAGATAAGAGTCTAGCTGGTCTTGCTGCTAGTGTAGAGGAATCTACCAATACTTCATCCTCTGAACAGAACTTGGGTATGCCAGAGGAAGAAAATGGTAAACATCAGGCTGACACTATGCTTTCTGAAATGGAAATGGACACTGATGAGAACAAAACAGAGAAGCTCCCTGATAAAGACACAGCACATGAAGAACCAGTTTCACCACTGCTGCTTCCTCTCCCAATAGAGCAACACGAAGCAGTGTCCAAATCCGAGGTGGCATCGCCTCCTGCTACTACGGCAGTGAGTGAGTCTCAGGAAATGGATGAAGATGAAGGCATCCATAGTCATGATGGAAGTGACCTCAGTGACAACATGTCAGAGGGTAGTGATGATTCAGGATTGAATGGGGCTCGGCCAGTTCCACAAGAGAACAGAAAAAATGCAAAGGAAGCCTTGGCAGTCAAAGAGGCCGAGGGAGATTTTGTTTGTATTTTCTGTGATCGGTCTTTTAGGAAGGAAAAAGATTACAGCAAACACCTCAATCGCCATTTGGTCAATGTATACTTCTTAGAAAAAGCAGCTAAAGGACAGGAGTAATTAAACTTTGGACAAGGCTTCAGTCTTAGTTTGTAAGATCTATTACATTTTATATTCATTTACAGTAGTCAATATCTTTTTATTTTTAAAATTGCTTTAATTAGTGTCCAGTGTTGATTTTGTAAGTGTCACTCTTCTTAGGACTATGTTTACTTGTTAATATATACATTTTAGCAAACCCAAGGGAGTTAGTCTACTAAACCTGCAGACACCTAAATCTGTTAGCTCATTCATTTAATTAAAAGGAGGCCAAGATGGTTAGAGCTTTCTGTTGGCTTTGTCCAGCTACTTTTTTCTTAGGTCGGTCTTCCTGTTTCACTTTCGCTTATTCTTAGTTTCTTGTTTAGCTCTATAAAAATTGGCATAAGTAGCAAATTACTTGAAAGATTTGCCTGCTTTATATAAAGTTAGCACTTTAAAATTTTTTAGAGATGAAAAGAGACATTTAAATTGAGGAAAAAGTCTCCCAACAATGGACATTGTGTATCAGTCCAAGTATTTACTTTGAGTTTTGATCAATATTTCTTATTTGTGTGTTTAAATTGTCATAAAAAATGATTTTGGTGTGGTTTGGGGTTTTTTTTTTTTTTTTTTTTTTTTTTTTTTTGGTGCTTTAATGGCTTAAAATGTTGCACATTTTTTTTTAACCTATGCAGTTAAATTTTTCTAGATATAGCATTTGTGTTGAACAGTAACACTTTATACATATATATGCATGTTTATTTTTGCCTCTTTGGAGGGGTGCTTTTAGTATTGTTTGCAAAAGGGCAGTTTTCTTTTTCCTTTGCTGCATTTGTCTTTTTTGCAGAATAGTGTGTGTAAGTTTGTGAGCAAATGAAACATAGGTTCAGTCCTTTGATTTTTCACATCCTATTATGCCAGAATCTGTATTCATATAAATTATTTATTTTAAATGGATGTAGTAAATTCACAGCTCTTAGCTTGAACATTGCAATACACGAACCACTAGGTTATATATAAAGTGGATTTTTATCTCAATACCAACCATCAGTAAATTTTTGGACCAGTTTTGGTACCTACATATACTTCCTAATGTACAGTGTTAAGTCATATCTTTGAGGAGAATCTTTTTACAGAGATGGTTGGTATCTGGCTACTCAGCTGAATAAATTGTGAACTGCAACCCTGGAATTAGGTGAGATAATTACTCCAAGTTATACATAAAATTAGTTATGAAACTCAAAAGCCATAGCTATTGTACAGAAAACCTAGGATCAGAAAGGTAGTATGAATGCTGGTAGACCAGCTGCTACTTCCTATGAATACATTGAAAAAGCCTGATGAAACTTTAGTACGGTCCAGATTTTTAAAAAAAATCACACTTCTCAGGGATCTCCACAAACTAGTGGGTGTCCTGGCTGTCATTGTGACAGCCTCTTTCTACAGGTGAGGCCTCAAGTGAATTGCAGCTATCCTGGTGTGGGGGGGGGGGGACACTTCATATGAAAAAAAGGGTTGTACTCCCAAACTTTTTCTGGTAGTTTCTTTGGCCTGGTGCCAAAGAATTTGAAAGAATCCACCATAGGATTTTTCTTGCTGGTAAGTTATTCATTGTGGTATAGATAAAGTATGACCCCGGTAGGGAATCTTGTACGATTTTGATCTCCCATGTTCTATTCAGAAGTAGCCAGCTTATACTTCATTTATTTGTTTTTCCTATTTGGTGATTTCTTTGAGGCAGGTTTCATATTTTGGTAATACACCATGAAAGATTGGGAAAGGTATTGAAGGGTGGGTGGAAAATCTGAGGTTGAAGTTTGAGTTACAGGACATTTGAACTTGGAATTGACTGGGAGGCCAAAGATTTAAAGAAGCAGAATATTAGGACACGAGGAGTAAGTTGCGTGTTAATGGTGTGTGTTTGTTGTGCATGAGTGGGAATTAGTAAATGATGTAGAATTCTCAGCTCCGACAATCATTGTCAACAGAAGATCAAGCTGCAAATATTTATGTATTAAAACTTAAATTATAAAGCTAGTTAAATCTTTCTTAACAACTAGTTTTAATGTTCATGGTACATTTTACCTAAGTTACCCTTTTACATTGTATATGAAGAGATTCATGTTAAGCACAGATTAGAAATTGGGAATCAGTTTAGAGAAGAGGTTTTATGGATTCCTTCATTCTACAAAAGACTAACTTCTGGGGAATTGGACTGATTTATTATGTAGTTTTAACACTAGAATTGAAAGAAATTTAAAAACCTCGTATTACTAAATTGATCTGTGAAAACATTGTTATACTGGAAATTAAGTGGAATTTGAGGCCTTTCTTCCAGAAAACAAGGACTTGATTGTCAGACCTATATTAGGTTCTGAACCTTAATGCCATGTATTTGTACTTATTAAAAATTGTTTCAGTGAAAAACATTTATAATGTGAACTTCTGTTCTAGTTGGGAGTTCTTCCATTTGAAAAATGTGATATTTGCATGGGACTGTTTGAATCCTTTTGTTTTCTCAGTTTTCCCTCCACTGGATAGAATTAAAGCTAGAATTTTTCTCCCTTTTGATAAAAGAATAAAAAGTGGACATGTTATTTGTAAAGTGATATTTAGTAACTAGAAATAAACTTGAAGTGCTAGAATACATTATAAGCCTAATCTTAGGTAGTCTTACGAAAATGTATCTCTTATCTTTTGAACCTATATTCACATTGGTTTTCAAGATATTTTAAGTTATATTTCTTCCTCTTTTCAGAGCTGCTTCTTTGGGCTACTCTTTTTGAAGTATAATTTACAACGGGCTACATTTTTTTTGATAAGGCTTCTTCTAATTATGGCTGGATGTTTTGCTCTAGTCTTCCAGGAATGACCATTTGATTTTTCTTAGGGTCACTTCTAAACACATGTGGTCTTTAACTTTGGGGACTATTTTGTATTAGCATATGAGTGCTAATATAAATTTAAACCCAAGTAGACCTCATCGCATGTCACCCCATGAATGTCGACAATGGAAAGAACTTGACTGTAGTTTATCAGTTCTAGACTGAAAGGTGGAGGCAAAGTTTTCTGTTTTGGATAAAGGAGGAAAAGTGTCTGAAGTTCCCTTGTTGACCTCAGCAGATAAACTGAGCTGATAGTGTTAATTCAGATTCAAGAAGTTATCTGAATCTTGGTTTATGTAGATTTTCAATCTACATGCAATATTAACTAAACCAGATAGCTTTTATAGTTTCACAAGTGTACATAGGCTCTCTACCCTTTTCAACATCCAGTAGTTATTGAAATTTGTAAACTGGCATTGAAACATTACAGCAATGTTTTGTTGCACCAATTTTATATACTTTTACAGTGCAATACGTGTTATTTTTCAGAGGCAAACCAAAGGTTAATTTCTCAAGGTTATTGCTGCCTGCTTTAGCAGCATTTGATGGAGGATCTTTTATATTCACTTGTAGTAGATGAAAAATAAACCAGATTGCAAATTCTTGTTTTTTAAAAAAGCTTAAACCATGTACCAAGTTTTTGGTCCAAATTATTGTAGGATAAGTTAAACTTAAGATTGCATTCTATTAACCAATATGAGTGTATTTCTGTAAGCATAGTTATGTTGAAATAAAAGTTTTAAAATGCATTTTATGCCTTTGTTTATTTTTGATATATCAAGCTTCAAGAAAGCCAAATTTGTTTTGCCAGGATTGTAAGCACACTTTTTTCAAAATTACTTAACGCAGATAGAACTCAAAGTGTTTAGGAAAGCTCATGGTGATCTCTCTTGTTCGTGGTAACCAATCAGTGGATATTTGCCCAAAGTACATCTTCCTCTTTGCTGCTTTTGGTGGGGTGGAGGTGGGGGAGAGACAAATGTGTGGACGGTTCATAGACCATGTTACATAGCAGTGCCTTCCCAACTCTAGGTCTTTTAATAGTAGGGTTTTAATAGCTTAAGGGTTTCAATACACTCCTCGTCTCAGCAGTCCTCTATGTTTTATCTTGTAATTGGGAAAGACGCAGTGAATAGACACTAAGTTTTGTTGAATGTCACTTTGAGTAAGACATTTAAGATTTTACTGTATGAAACGGAACTGAAAAGTTCATGAAACAGTTTACTGCCTAGATTAAGGATAATGTGTGTTTCACTTTGATTTTAACTAGTATAATTTTTAAATTCTAATGTACAAATCTTGTTCAGATACAGGAATGCCTTAAGTTAGCCCAGTTTTCTTGTTGGAACTTTGATTTATGAGTAATGAGTAAGTAAGGACCACCAGCTAGCTTGATTTCTTCTCATGATTAAAAATCAGCTTTGCTACAGTTCAATAGTACAATTTTCTGGATGTCTGAATTCCTTATTTTCTATACATTTAATTTGCTATTAAAATTTTTTTTTTAAGACTTTGTTTTTGTATACAAGAACTGGGGTACAGGGCCTTTACTGGCTGGCTGCAGCCCTTCAATGTGAGTTCAATCCCTACCCCCAGTGGTGATCCATATGGCACAGCAGGCCTCTCCTGACCCGCCTGCTGTTCCCCTCAGTAGTGTACTTTGTGGATCTACTTGTTCTCCCCACTGTCTGGTAAATCCTCTCACTGCCCCTGCACCTCTGGCCTGTGCCCCAGATCTGTGTGCATAAATAAATCTTAACAAAAAAAACTGGGGTAGGGCCCTCCCTGGTGGCACAGTGGGTTAAATAAAGTACAGCAGAAAGAAGCTAAAGCCACTTCAGCATGAGTTCGATCCCCGTCTGCCCCAGAGGTGACCCACATGGTGCCGCAGACCTCACCTGACCTGCCCGCTGCTTCCCTCAGCAATGTACTTCATCAGTCAATGTACCCCCACTCTGTTTCTGGTGAATCCTTTCACCGCTCCTGCACCTCTGGCCTGTATCCCAGTTCTGTACGCATAAATAAATCTTTAAAAAAAAAAAAAACGGGTTCAGGCCACAGGTATGGGGTGTGGTGAGAGGATTCATCTGAGACATTGGGGAGCAGAACAGGTAGATCAGGTAGATGGACCAAAATACACTGCTGAAGGGAGCAGTGGGCAAGACAGAAGAGGTCTGTGCCATGTGTGTCAGCTCCCTGCATGGGGATTGAACTCATGTCACAGAACTTGCGCTGCAGTGGCTGTGGACAACTTCATAGTACTGCACTTCAATCCTTTACACCACCAAGGACAGCCCTACCTTTTTTTTTTTTTTTAAGG